CACCCCTAGGGAAACTCCCCTTGGGCAGACTGGCCACTCAGAACACAGTCATCTGATCCCATCATGGGAACAACCGCACAGAACTGGGGTCCAGCCAAGTTGACACACAGCTCCAACTATCACAGAAGGGAAGTAGAGACACAAAGTATAGGCAGTTCTTTCAAGGAGTTTTGCCTCAAACAGAAGCAAAAAGATGGGGCAGTGGCTTGTCACAGAAAGTATGGGCAAAAAAAGTTCTTGTTTGTTTTTTAAATAGAGAATTAATTGTATGCTTGAATGCTGATGAGAATGATCCAATAAAGACACCCCCCCCAAAAAATTGTAATAATAATGACACAGGAAAGACAAAGATTGTTGGAACATTGAGGAAGGATGAGGAATCTGTGCCCTAGAGAGAGAGGGTCAATTCTCTGAATAGTCTTCTGCCATACAGGGCTGGAAGGCAGAGTCCATAGGTTCAGATACAGGTAGGTGAGTAGATGTGGTTCAGGGAATCTATAGATGTTCTGATTGTTTCTGTGTTCTCAATGAAGTAAGATTGATAGCTGAGTAAAGATAGGAACAAGATGGTGGAGGTTTCTGGAGAAAGGAAAAGGTGTCAAATTGACCTGTTGGAGAGTGGAAGGATGATTAGACTAGATGAGAAATGAAGTGATTGAGAGGCAGCATTTAAAGCTGCACTTGAGATTCATGGTCATGAATGTAAATAGGACCAATCAGTAGGTTATTTTCCTCAAGCCGAATTAAACTGTAGGGACAGGTAATGGAATCTACATAGTTGGATTTAATCAAGGGAATTAAGGGTATATACAAGGGATCTTGAAACATTCTTTGTGACAATGAATGCCTCTTCAATTTGTCACCCCCGGCATAGTAGATCATACGTTTGTTTGATTCAAAATGGCCAAAGCCAGTCCATTTCAACTCACTAATGCCTAAGATATTGATCTTTATGTGTTCCATTTCATTTTTTGACAACTTCCAATTTTCCTAGATTCATACCTCATACATTCCATGTTCTGATTATTAATGGATGTTTGCAACTATTTCTTCTCACTTTGAGTCATGCCATATCAGCAAATGGAGGTCCCAAAAGCTTTACTCCACCCATATCATTAAGGTCAGCTCTACTCAGAGGAGGCAGCTCTTCCCCAGTCGTATCTTGAGTGCCTTCCAACCTGAGAGACTCATCTTCCAGCACTATACTGGACAGTGTTTCACTGCTATTCATAAGGTTTTCACTGGCCAATTCTTTGACAAGTGGATGGCCCCTTCCTTCTTCCAAGTCTGTCTTAGTCTGGAAGCTCTACTGAAACCTGTCCACCATGCTGGTATTTGAAATACCAGTGGCTTAGCCTCCAGCTTTACAGCAACACACAAGCCACAAACTGACAGACAAGTGGTGGTGCATGCAGGATACCCAGGTGCAGTTCTCAGACGATGCACCTCATGCACAGCCACCACCCATATGTTATTGGTGGCTTGCATATTACTATGGTACAGACTAGGTTTCAGCAGAGCTGCCAGACTAAGTCAGACTATGAAGAAAAGCCTGACAGTCTACTTCTGAAAATCAGCTAATGAAAATCCTATGGATCACAATGGAACACTGCCCAATTTGCACCCAATCATGGGGATGGCACAGGACTGGGCAGCATTTCGTTCATTTGTACATGGTGTTACCATGAGTTGGGGCTAAGTCAGTGGCAGCTAACAACATCTATTGAAATAGACAAGATTTAAGGTCGGAGTAGTGTTGGAAAGAGTTACAGTGAGCCAGGAGCTAAACTCCTCTAAAAAAAAGAAGAGTGACCAAAGGTTCAACAGATGATAGTCACAATGATGAGGATTAGTATATAAATTCCTATATTAACCTGAATATACAGTGAAAAAGAGGAAGACCTTCAACTAGGGCTGCAACAATGGGCTCAAACATAGCAATGATTGTGAGGATGGTGCAGGACTGGGCAACAGTTCATTCTGTTACACATAAGGTAGCTATGATGGGAACTGAGTTGATGACATGTAACAACAACATACACACCCAGGAATAGATGGCAAGGTACAGTAAATTGAAGGCACGTCTGTTCTTTGCTGTGGCTGCACCACTTGACACTCAAAACTGCAGTGTAATAAGGGTTTCTCTTTTCCCACAACTTTGCCAAAAACTTGATAGTATCTGTTTTTATAATTCTTATCAATTTGATCAATGTAAAGTGTTACCTCACTATTTGATTGTGTTTTCTGATTGCCAATAAGACTGAGCTTCTTGTTAGTCATTTAAGTATGCCTGCCTTATGTGAATGCCTATTTTTATCTTTTGCCTATATTTTATAGGTTTGTGTTGCTGTTTTACATATTGATTTGTAGGAGTTCTCTATATACTGAGAACTTTTAAATTGAAATATTTTTTTGGTTTATTTTATTGTCTATTGATATTTTTCATTTCCTATGGTGATTTTTGACCATGTGGAACCTTTTAATTTTTATGTATTCTCTCTCTCCATTTATTCAGATCTTTTATATCCTTAAGTAGTGATTTCTTGGTTGTTTTTCTGTGATGATATAGTCCATTCTTTTCATGGGTTAACTCCTAGATATTTTATCATTTTGGTTGCTATTGTGAACAATACCTTTTTTAAAAGATTATATTTCCAGTTAATGCAGTATAGAAGAAGAGTGTTGCTTTTGTATCAGGAAATTTGCTGGACTCTTATTGGTTCTAATCATTTATGTGTCGATTTTATAGTTTTCTGTGCTCATAATTTCCTTCAGCAAATAATGATAGTTTTGTCTTTTCCTTCCAAGTTTCTCTTTTGTTACTTTGTCCAGTACTATGTTGAACATTAGTAATGTAATGGGTATCCTTTATAATTACTGAGCTCTCCAATAAGCATATCATTTTCCAAACAAAAACCTAGATTCATCTGAATAATGTGTGATAGCACTCGTGGGGACAGTGAGGGGGACAAAAATAATTCCCTTGACCCCAAGGAGCCAACAAAGTGCTGAGCAGATAGCTCAAATATACACTTGATTTACTTTCAACCCAACATGGATTCATTCATCAATAGTTAAGTTCTTCCCACATACCAGGTACTGAGGATACAGCAATGAACAAGACAGACTTGGCAATAGACTCTGAAAGTAATTACAGTAAAACATGTGCTACGGGAGTGTTTGGCCAGGTGGTCAGAGAATGCCTACTTCAAAAGAGATGTTTAACAGAGATCTGATAGGTAAGTAGCAATTAATCAGGCAAGCAGGAAGAGGGAAGAGTGTTTCTGGAAAGGAAACAGCTTGTGGGAAGGCCTAGACTCTGGGGTGTGATCTGCTGGAGAAGGGCCAAGAGCCTGGGAGGAATGACTCAACAGAGGAGCCAGAGCTTAATGGACCATCTCAAGGAGCTTAGATTTGGCCCAAGGGTAATGGAAAACCATCAGAAGATTTTAAGGAGTAAGGTGACATGATTGGGTTAATATTTTAGGAAGATCACTCAAACTCACTGCCAACTACTCTGAGAAGAGATCACAATAGGAGATCCTAGATGAAGTAGGAGAAAAATGTGGAGCAAATCTCAAAATGGTGAAAAAGACCAGGCTAACTGGTCTGATAGAGACTGGTAGAACCCCCAAGACTATGGCTCTTAGTTACCCTTCAGTCCTGGAACTGAACTCACTCCCATGGCTCAGCTCTCAGCCAAGCAACAGACAGGCCTATGAGGTGAACAAGAACATGGGGAGGTGTGCACTCCCTAGAACAATCAAACAGAGATCAGAAGAGCAGCATTTACCCAGGAATAAAGCTCAGAAGGCAGGAATGCATAGGAAAGAAGGACAAAGGGAAGAAGTGGGAAGAATACTGTTATATTGTGGGGATTGCAATCCGTGTCATATGTGTATGAACTGTTGTGGAAAACCAAAACCAATTAATTTACTCTGTAAACTAAACTTTCACCCAAATCACAATAAAGTTAATAATAACTTAAAAAAAAAAAAAAAAGATGGCTCAAACTACAAGATGATTAAAAGAGAATAATGAACAACCATTTAGAAAATAATGGCTGACAGGATGGTAGGATCCAGTGATTGATTGGATGTGGTTGTAAGGGAAAGAAAAGGGTCAAGAATGACTTCTTGGTTTCTTACCTGAACAGCCAGTTGGATGGTGGGACCCTTTGCTGGGACAAAAAATAAAGGAAGAAGAGAAGATTTGGGAGGGATGGTGGAGTTCAGTTTTAGAAATGTTGCATTTGAGGTACCTATGGGGATATCCAAGTAAAGATATCCAATAGGTTGGTCTCTTTATGGGCTAGCAGAGACGTCTAGGCTAAAGAAAAAGATTTTGGGAGTCCTGAGTTTTAGAGGGAGTTCCCGGGTGGTACAAACCTAAGTGGCCGGTTACTAACTGAAAAGTTGGCGGTTCACACCCATCCAGAGGTGCCTTGGAAGAAAAGCCTGGCAATCTACTTCCAAAAAGTCACAGCCATGAAAACCCTAGGAAGCATGGTTCTACTCTGACACACATGACTCAATGGCAACTGGTTGTTTTCTTTTTTAAGTTCATGGAATCCCTGGGTGCATATATTTAATGTACACTGTTCCTAACTGAAAGGTTGAAGGTTCAAGTCTACCCAGAAGCACCTTGGAAGAAAGGCCTTGGTGTTCTACTTCAGAGAAATTAGCTATTGAAAACCCTGTGGATCACAATTCTACTCTGACACACATGGGGTCACCATGAGTCAGAGTCAACAGTAACTGGTTTAAGTTTATAGATGTTAACATAAGATTGTTCAGGGACAATACATCCCTGAAGTGAGACCAGAGGCATGTACAGGGCAAATGCCAGCATTTTGGGGAGGAGCAGGAGAAGGTCAGAGAGAGAAAGGGAAGACCCATAAAATATAGTGCTATAACTCCCCTGGCAGGGCCTACTGCTATCTTACAGAGAAACTTCAAGGCCCAGGATCCTGGGACCACAATGCAAATTCCTAGGATATTTTGATCATCTTCTCTCTCTTTTTACCAGTTTCCAGATCCAGGCTCCGGGTAGTTCATCCCCCAACTCTACCTTTGGCCATAAAACCCAATCCACATGGAGACGGTGAGTAGTGGGGAACGAGTTCTCCAGTGACATGGCTCTGTGGCCTGAGCTGCATATCAGAGATACCATAAGCCAGAGTGGTCTATGGTACATAACCTCCTTATTCCCGGTACAGGACCCAATTATGAGCCCAACCTGTGGATGTGGGTAAACCCCAACATCGTGTACCCCCCTGGAGAGCTGGAGGTCCCAGAGCCTAGGAAGGAGGAGGACCTAACACTCCCCTGCCCTCTGCTACCCTCAGAGGAGGAAGATTCCAGCTGCTCAGAGGCCACAGTGGTAGAGTCACTGCCACTATCCTCCAGTGAGCAATCTCCCCCGCCAAAGCACCTTGCCTCTTCCCCCAGCAACCCGGAGGTAGGAACTTTTGGGATTGTGGGCTGGGCATGGGCCATACGCAGGGGGGCATAAGGATGCTTTAGAATTTACTTTCTAGGCATAACACAGGGTTAGTGGGTTCAGAAATTACCTTTCCCTTTGGGTTGGGGAGAAGCTCAGATGGTGGTCCCAGGCCACCTGCCCATTCCTGCCACTGTACCCCTGGAGTAGAGGCAATGGAGTCAGGACCAGTTCCTACTCTGTGCTCCTCTAGCTCACAGAAGAGGAGGAGGCTGAAGACCAAGATGACAGCTCCTCTGTGGCTCTCCTGTCCCCTCACAAAAGGGCCCCCCTTCAGAATTGGAGGCTTCAGCAAACCGACACCCAGGAGGGGCAGCTCTGGCCCCGGCCCCCACTCAATTACTTCCACCTAATTGCCCTGGCATTAAGAAACAGTCCCCCCTGTGGCCTCAACGTGCAACAGATCTACAATTTTGCTCGGTATGTGCCAGGGGTCCCTGTGGGGAGGGGAAGGGGTAAGGGGCTTGAGTCTGACACTTTCTACTCTTCACTAGGCCCGGGGCTGCTGCCTCAGTTTTCCCATCTGGGTCTGAGAGAATAAATGCATTTCCAGTTCTCCTTCTCCAGGCACTGGAACTAGGTTTCCCTAAATATGTACCCAAGACAGGAAGATATCCACCCCATTCCCTTTCGCAGCTTAAAAAAAAAAAAAAACTTTTTCATATCTTAGTTCTGCTTTAAAACATAAAACCACCTGTGCCAGGTAACAGTTTCTCCTGCCCTCTCATGATACCCAACAGCTTCCTGCATTTTTACTCTAGGACTGTCTGTATTACCTGGCACAGCCCTGTACCCCCAGGGGCCAGGGTACCCAATGAGAAAGGTATTAGCTTTGGTAGTCATGTGCACGCGACTGTGAAGAGGTTCTCAGGCCTTTTCCCAATACCAGGAGAAGAGAGCTTCCCATCTCTGAAGGTGTCTCCTGGATCTCCAGAATCCAGAACACACAGTAACCCCCAGGTAGTACCCCTCCTTGGCCAGTATTCCTCTTACAGGTCTTGGTTGGCCTGACTCTTCAGGCTGTTGGTCAACACCCTGAGTCTACAGAATGAGGGGGAAAAAATGAGCCTGGGATGGGGGCAGGGACTGGGCTTAAGAGAGGAGAACTAGCATATGCCAGGCACCAAGGGGAGGTTTGGCTGCATGCTCAGTCAGCAAAGGGCAGCTCCCAGCCAGCTCATCACCTGCCACAATGAAAGAAAGGCTGAGGCTTCTAGCTCCTGTGGTTTGAGAATTTTCTTGAAATTAGGGCATCCTCACAAAACTTATGCCTTTCCTTACCTTTCCTCCCTCTCTCCAGACAGCATTTCCCCTTTTTCCAGACGGCTCCAGAAGGCTGGAAGAACACTGTCCGCCATAACCTCTGTTTTCGGGACAGCTTTGAGAAGGTACCAATCAGCATGCAGGGTGAGGCCAGTACACGGCCTCGGTCTTGCCTCTGGAAGCTGACTGAGGAGGGCCACCGCCGCTTTGAGGAGGAGGCCCACGCC